TTTTTCGGGCAACCCTATGTCACCATATCCTGTTGAAAGTGTCCGACAATTGTAGAAGTCATATTATGATGGATCTGTCTATTCTGAATCAGGTCAGGGATCGAGAATTTTGGGTTTTCAGAAACGGAGGGATTTAGCGCAAATGAGGGCACCTCCTCCGTGGTGCAGTCAATGCGGTAGAGCTCATTCTGGACAATGTCATCAGGGATCTAATGTATGCTATACCTGTGGAGACCCTAGTCATTACATGAGGGACTGTCCTATGAATGACAGAAGCGGGATGGTTCAGCCCACCAGATCTATAACAGTCTCCTCCTCTTCAGTACGCCCTCAAGAGTGAGGCCCTCAGGCATCAGCTGGTAGAGGTAGAGGCACGGGTGAGCATCTAGCTCCGACAGTAGTCAGAACCGCATATATGCTTTGGCAGGTCATAAGGACCCAGAGGCTACACCGGTTGATGTGTCAGGTACTGTGACTATGGGTAATATTCGATCTTATTGACGCGAATTGCCCAGTTAATATGATTAATATAAGAGTGAGTTGGCATTACGTCTGAAGGGTTAAGGGAAACCAAGGCTAACTTGAAAGCAAAGTAAGAACCTGAGGATAGTGGACTAAAGGAGGAAAGGGGAGTAACCTAGAACATTAAGAAGTTAGAACCCTGATAGCTCTAATGCCAAGGGAGGAAACAACATATAGTACGCAAGATTTTGGGAAAGTTAATATAATGGAATAGAAAGTTATGAACCCGGTTATTAAGATTACAACTAGTAGGTGTCAGCGCCTAGAAGATAGATTAACAGAGTTGCAGGTGACGAATGACTTAGAAAGTAGTTTTAGGGAGGGACGGCGTCTGACCCCGTGAGAGCCTGATATTTGTTTCTTTGGAGTATAGCCCGGGAAGATATATATACATTTATAATTGATGAGTATGTATGTACATCTTGCAAGTTTAAACATTCGAGGACGAATGTTCTAAAGGGGGGAAGGATGTTTCATCCCGTACTTTAATATTAGGATAAGTCGTAGTAATCCATATGAGCTTGAAGGGATTAAGACTATTCATGAGGTTATAAAGGATTTGTGACTATCATTGTAAGATCCCGTAAGTTTAACAGCCTTGATACCGTTATATATATATTGATATGATATTTTGAGTGGAACATTTTTGTAAAACGGTTTAAGAAAAAAAATAATATGATTTATTATAGTTATTAACATTACTACTTTCAATTATACACATAATATGAGAAAGTTTATGAGATTTTCTTTATTGTAAAGATAGAAATTAATTTCTCACAAGAAAAGAAGGTTATCTTTTTACCATTTTAAGAATTAAGCATACGAAAATTTGTACTCTTTATATGAGATTAGAAAAATTAGAAGTTGAGAAAATATATGTATTTTTACATGAATGTTGTAATGAAATAATAGTGTATGTATTGATTTTATATGGTACCACATGACCATAATAGTATGATGTATAAAGTGTATAAAAAAATGAGTAGTATTTTAAGTAATTTATGATAGTTCTTAATTATGTGGGCAATTGGTTAATTATCGGGTAACGGGATATTACCTAGTTAACTAACAAGTTATGGGATAAAGATTAAATCCCCCACACCCTCCCTGCCCCCACGTGGCAGCAAGCTACTACCCAAAACATATGACTCTTAGTCATTATGGGTAGGTGGCAACTGATTCCAACATAAGGAATTTTAATCCAAATAAGGCTACATGTCTTTGAAATAATTCAAAAGGTACTTACCTTTCAAGGATTAAGAGAATAGCATAAACTTTAAATTGGGGGGGGGGGGGGAATCTGAAGCTACGTATCTCCCAACAATTTAAAGAACAGCAAAGACTTTAATTCAAACAGAGATTTCAACAAGTAACGTACGGATCTTCAATAATTCAAACAGATATTTCATAGTATCTTAAGGAACGTGAGATTTTATAATTTTAAGGGAGTACGGTGCAATCTTTCTCAAAAATACCATACGGGTTTTTCCCTACCCAAGGTATGTTAAGGCTAATCCTTCTTTCTTTTGGCATGATCCAAGTAACGATGCGTACACGATATTCTATAAGTGGTTCTACTCTTAGCAATTAAGGATGTTTATGTTATTCATTCCCGTAAAGTGATATTCAAGCATGTCTAAGTACGTATCTAGTTCCCTATTGAGGTATTTGATAAAGATGTTAATATTTATAGTATAATGATACATGCATCTTCATTTACCACCGAACTACGGCTGGTCGGGCAGTCATGCATTTATCATCGGGCTACGGCTGGTCGGGCAGTTACCACCGATTGGGCAGTTATGCATCATTATTTATCACCGGTTGGGCAGTTATGTATTTACCACTGAGTTACGGTCGGTCGGACAGTTTTCACTGATCAGTTTGGAAGTTAACATCACGAGAATGATGTAATCAGAATTATTATATTGTAATTTTATTTATATATACGAGATGGATCTTATTCTATAAGTTATGTCCCTCAACGGCAAGTGAGAGGTTATAAGTTGACTCTTATCCCTCCCCGAGATAGTATCTTATTACTATATTTTATTTCTGCCTTACATACTCGGTACATTCTTTGTACTGACGTCCCTTTTTCTGGGGCGTTGTGTTTCATGCCACGCAGGTGTAGATAGGCGAGGTGAGGACCATCTACTGTAGGCTGCCTCCAGATATCAGCTTTTGGTTGGTGAGCTCCACATCTTCTTGGAGTATTGCCTAGTCACGTTCTATATAGGTTATTTTGTTTTATGAGGATGTCGGGAACCCTGTCCCGACTTATATATTATGGTCATGTTTTCTTAGAGATTTTACAGACAGTGTCCTATGTATATTTTAGGAATGACATGTCAACGGCCTTGTCAGCCCCTATGTATCTATATAAATCTTTTTTTTTGAATTAGTTATGTGAGTTAAGTTCTAATATTGTTAATTATATATATAGATGTGGCCTATCATGGCCCGTGACGAGTCTTATAAAAAAAAGGGATAAAATATGTGGCGCTCGGTTGAGTAGGCATCGGGTGCCAGTCGTGGCCCTCTGATTTGGGTCGTGACATACTTTTTCTAAATGGGTTGGTTATGCATAATATCATTTTAGGAGCAGTAATTTAAACAAGAAAATTAAACACAAAAATTGAACATAAAAATAGACACGAAAATTAAGCACGAAACGTAAACATGAAAATTATACGCAAAAATTAAATAAAAAAATAAGAGATGAAACGAGTGCAACATGATTAAGTATAAAAACTTAAAGAAATTGTCCAAATAATTACTCCAAATACTTGACGAATTAATTTAAAGCTTGAAACTTGCTCCAAATATTTTGCTAAAATACTTGAAACATAATAACTATGAAAAAATATAGAGAAGAATAGAGACAGAATGTTAGAGATTACAGAGAAAATGATAGAATTTGTATGGGAAAAAATAAATAAGGATGAAAGGTATTTATAGTTGAAATTAGGGTGAAAGCGTAATTTAATAAACTTGAGAATTAAATAAAAACTTTAGGTGGGGGCTGTTGTTTTGGGGAGTTAGGGGTAAAAAATGGTCATTTTTTCGTTGCCAACTACTCTTTTTTAAGGAAAAAAACGTTGGAGAACGACTAATTTAAAAATAAAAACTGAGGAGCTGCCACGAGGGGCCGGGTCGGCGGGACCACATGGTAGTCCCGTCCCATCCCATGTTCCTTTCCCCCTAAACCCATCCCACGTAATTCCAGCAGGACGGGACCGGGCCGTCCCATCCGTTGGACACCCTTACTTGAGAGAGAGGAGAAAAAGATTTTGCATTTTGTGTATTTCTCTTAGCCAGCACCATTTAGTTCATTTACGCGCTCAATTTCAGCTGTGGAGCACTCAAGCTGCCATGTCAGCATTTTGGATTTAATCGACACATATTTGTCTAGTTAAAGTGTTCAATAGGTCACTATTAAAGTATAGATGTCTAAATAAAAAATAATGTCATGTTTAAATGTCTGCCTATGTATTTAATCTTCCGTATATAAGCTAAGATTCTACAACGTAAATCATCTACTATATAAGTAAAAGACACTGAGATATTTGATCTATTTAAAGTAAAATTTTATTAAATTAAACAAGTAAATAAATAATTATTCCGTAAAGAATATTACTATAACAAAACGCATGGTTCATAGTATATCCTAACATCTCATTCATGAGTCATTCCACTGGCTATAGATTTCTTGAATAAAGAGCCATACAAGAACTGTGAGATAAACTAACCTTATATTATATCCAATCTCCAAGCTATGAAACCTCCATGGTGGAGAATAAGTAATCGAGTCAGTATAACGCTTATGATTAAGATACTTTGGTAATCTCAAGTCTAAGGGTACTTGAACAATTGATATTATGAGATACTTTCGTTGACATTGACAATTTATCCATATGAAGATCTCATTTCTAGGTCTCCAATGAACTTATTCTTCTAACAAGATTCCACATTTTAATCCTAACATCCCATGCTCACAGCTTGTGACAACTACTGTTTGATCCAGTCAAGAAGTATAACATAAAGTACTGACTTGGTTGGGATCCTGAAGCTTAAGGCGGAAAGTCTCGAGTGTCTTATTTGAAAGTAGATTGTGAAAACACAAAAGCCAAAATTGTGAGAGCGCATCGTCTGCTTTCTATTGTACTTATCATTTTCTTGAAAATGCTATTTTACAGTAATCGCACATAATAACAATATCCTTTTGATACATTTAATTTAATGACATTTTCGGAAACACTTCTCACTTCTAATTATTGTTTATCTTATACTGCATGATATTTTTATTAATATAAAATCATTCAATCTTATTTATAGTTGATATCATTATAAGCGGAATGGATAATTATATTACGATTCATAGTCAACAACAACTATGATTTTGGAATTGAGTTGTACTCGTTATATCTTTAAATTGGGGCAGGGAAGCGTCATTATAGGGAATAACAGTCCTGATATTCTTCTACGAATTACTATTATTCTTGGAGTAAATTATGAGATGAGAAAAGAAAAGTGGGACATTCCGCAAAATACTGAAACCATCATATTGGCAGACATTTATTCCACTGCAGATCAATCTAAAGTATGCCATGCTGCTCAAATATTATTAAGACACAGTCCCGCCATAATATAAGCCTTCACTTAATTCCCATTCAGAAGGGAATCGATTTTGTGGGCAAGGTGGGCTTCACTGTCTTCAAGACGACCTTTGGTTGCATCATTTTCCCACCGGATTAAGGTTGGAACCCCTTTGAGGTTGAACCTGGGGTCAACTCGCCATGGGTGCTGTGGAGTCCTCCAAGTAGGCCTATCTCCAACATAAGCCCTCAGCAGTGCTATATCCTCTGCTGATTCTTCAAGCTTCTTGTATATCACAGGTTCAGCTCTTACACAATCTTTAAAAAAAAAGACAGAAAACTATTGGAGCTAGTTGGTCAAATTTGGGTGGATTTGAAATATAGCAGATGAAGACAACTCAACAAGCTAGTTGGATGAGAAAGATAATAGGGGCAAGAACACTGATTATACTTATGCAAAGCAGGAGACCTAGTAACAGGAGTATGATAAAACATGTATACCTGCAACTAATTGGAGCATTGCCTAGAGTGGATTGGAGATATTTGATGTTCAACAACACTGCCAGACCTAGAGCTATATTTACTTTATGGTTACCGGTGCAAGTGTAATGACTCATCAGTCGTTTTGAGTTCTACGACCCCCTTTCCCTATTTGAGACTTCCCGTGTATTTATTTCATGTTTTATGACTTGCCGGTACGGGTGGTTCGGGTTCCGAGATGTTCGGGAGTGATTAGGAACACTTAGTTTCTAACTAGAGAATTTAGAGAGTTGACCAAAGTCAACATTTTGGGTAAACGGGCTCGGATTGGTGATTTGAAGGTTCGTATAGGTTCATATGATAATTTGGACTTGTACGTATGTTCGAATCCGGTCTTCGATGCTGCTAGAAGAATTTGGCGCTTTTGGTTAAAAATCAGCAATTTGAAAAACTTTAGAGTTCATAAGTTTGACTTGGAGCTGACTTTTGTGTTATTACATTTTGTTTCATGTTGTGAGCCTTCGGATAGGTCCATTTAGGTTATTTGAACTAGTTGGAATTGTTTAGAGGTGGTCCAAAGGGTTTGAGAGTGATTCAGACCTATCTTGAGAAATTGGAACTCAAGAAAGTTTATATTTTGGTTTGGATCATGATTCTTAGATGTGATGCTTCTGGATGTGTTTTGAGTCATTGGACAAGTTTGTATAGGATATATAGACTAGTTGGGATGATTGGACAGGATCCCCAGGAGCTCGGGTGAGTTTGAACAAATTTGAGCATTTCAGCACTATACCGATATTTCTGCAGCTTTCTGCAGTGTTGAGGGCAATTTTGCAGTGCGGAGGGTACTTTTTGGAGTACTGAAGCAATGCCTTGAGTGCTAAGGCAATGGCCGAGTGCTGAGGCAATCGGCAAAGCATGGACCGCACTGAGGGCCAGAATAGGAGAACTGCAGATCTGTTGGTATGACTTCGGAAGCTTATATCTCCTAATCTATAATGAATTTGGGGGTGATCCAAAAACGAAAGTTGTAGCTCTTTGAGTCAAGTTTTCAGAAAATCAAGTCATTTGTCATTTGGACATTTTGTACAAAATGTTATTGCCATCTTACTGAAGGTTGGTAGTGAAATCACTACAGGTGTGCTGGATTGTGGACCGCACAGCTCGTATTGCGGTCGCAAGACTAGAGTGCGGTTGGGAGTGAAGTCCACACTAGGAAAATGCGGCCAACACTGTGAGTTCAGATTTTTGTATATAAACGGATTTTTATTTCACTCTTCACCACTTTATAGACTTGGAAGCTCGATTTTGAGAGGTTTTGACCTAGATCTTCATCTATAAGCTTGGGGTAAGTGATTCTAATCAAAATCTATGACTTATACATAAATTTATCACTAGGTCTAACATCAAAACATGAATTTGAACAAGAGAAATTGGGGCTTTGTCCAAAACTTAAGAAAATGGAATTTGGGGTTTTGAGCACCGATTTGGAGTTGGACTTGAAAACTAATCACATATTCGGACTCGGAGGTTTATGGGTCAGCGGGATCCAACCTTGGACTCGGGTTTTGACCAAATAAGTCCGAGGTTGACTTTTGAGATTTGATTAAAAATTGAAGTTTTATCGTTAGGAGTCGATTTCTATAGCCTAATTTGACCTCGTCTGGCTAGATTTCGAGCGTTTGGAGGCCAAGGATAGAGGAGGCCAGTAATATTGGACACCTGGGAGGTGTCGAGCAACTGGGACGTGTTGGTTGAGGTAAAGTTGAGTCTTTATCATATATAGACAGTCTAGACTCATGCATACACATGCTATTTGGTGCATACCATCTGTATATGCGGATTTGGTAACTTATCTATGCTCTTAATCAATTTATCTGAAAACCATGCTTAATACTTGTTTCTTGACTGGGTACCTTATTATTTATATCTGTGGTTTCCTAGTTGTTTCTTCATTTCTTGTATATGGTTATGTGTTAAACGGGTTATGGAAGTATGCATTGATTGTCTAAACCTCGGTACTACTTTATCGGGATTAGACTTGATACTTAATGAGTACACGTTGATTTTGTACTCATACTACACTTATATATTTTTGTGCAGATCCTAGTGTTAGTCATCAGTACTTACGATCGAGGGACAATTTATACGAGTGTAATCACCTATCTACAAGTACTAGAAGAGGACACCGATTTCCGTAGTTTGTATTACAGTTATCAGTTTTTCCTCAGCTATTAATTATATTATACAGTCTCTCAGTTAGTGGTTTTACAACTATCGAGTTTATCAGTATTTAGTTACAAGACAATGAGCTTTATAATTTTTAGTATATCAGTATTCAGGTAAAAACACATTAATGGCTTTGGGATACTAAGCGATGGTTACACTTTCAGTTTACGAGCTAATGCATAACAGTATAGAGTGCCTTGAAATTTCCTTTGAGGCATATATGAAACGAAAGGGGTCCAACTAGTGGAAAAAGAGGGAAGTAAAATGTTTGTTGGTACCATGTACATTCAGAATCCACCAAAAAGTGCCAGAACTGGGAAGAACCCTATGGGCAAGGAAGAAGAAAGAATAACATAACGATACTTACGGCTAGGTACTAGCTAGTTAACATGTTTATCCTGACCATCCAAGGCTTAGTAGGTCGGCTTTGGAGATTTCTTGGTGAGCTGCAATGTTGGATTTGCTTCCTATATAATCTAGTGTAACCTTGTTTCAGATAGTACTTTTACATTTGAGACTCTATTTAGTAGCTCATAACTTCGTAGTTCGTACTGCCAAGTTTTGGAAGATTAATGTAATATTTTTGCACTATGATGTTGATTGCAGACTTATTTATGTTTCATTTATACTATAATAGTTGATTATCCCAAATCTGATCTTGCTTTGATTGTTTAAAACGTGTTGGCTTACTTAGCGGGTTAGGTTAGGTGCTGATCCTGGTGGGTTTTTGGATCGTGACAGCAAGAGAGATGTTACACCCCATGTTTTCGTACGTGAAAGTGTGCCATGAATAAATTAATGCAAGCTCGGAAATGAGATGTTACATCCTGCATTTTCGTACGATAAAGTTTCGTCGTAAGTTAATGATATGATGGGATGCCCTCAGAGGCTTGCCCACAGTGGCCGAAATGATACGATGGGATGCCCTCAGAGGCTTGATGATGATATGAACGCATATACCTATGCATGGTATGACATTTATACGTATATGCATGACATTATAAAAAATAAAATGATTCACAGAGCTATGCAGACGTACATGTCGAGTCTTTTACTCCATGTTTCTCTCATGTCTATTATTTACTGATTTTCATTCCTTACATACTCGGTACATTATTTGTACTGACGTCCTTTTTTGCCTGGGGACGCTGCATTTCATGCCCGCAGGTCCCGATAGACAGGTCGAGAGTCCTCCAAGTAGGCTATCAGCTCAGCGGAAGGTGTTGGTGCGCTCCATTTGCTCCGGAGTTGCTTGTTTGGTCAGTATGATTTAGACGTGTATTGTTTGGTATGGCGGGGCTCTGTCCCGACCTTTATGACAATTATGTATTCTTAGAGGCTTGTAGACAGATGTCATGTACGTAAAAGATTGTATGGCCTTGCCGGCTTATGTTCAGTGTACGAGTTGTTATTTTGGTCTTATAGGACTGTATGTCTTATGTATAAGTTGGTACTAAATGTTGTATTCTACTTATCTCACGGCAGCCTTTCCGGCTCAGTTATCTATGATAGTATGATATGAAAAGACACGTTATGTTGGTACTCGGTTGAGTAAGGTATCGGGTGCCCGTCGCGGCCCATCAGTTTGGGTCGTGACAAGAGACTACTTAGAGTTGATAGACTTATGAATGCAGGTTAAAAGTTGATCAATATGTGGCTTAAGAAAAGCTGGGAATGAAACAAGAAACCATCTATTCTAAAAGCTGGGAATGAAACAAGAAACCATCTATTCTTTGATTGCAGGTTTGCTAGACTTATGGACAAGATTGATGCAATGGTTGCAGATACAATGGCCAGCAAAAAGCTCATGGCAGCAACACCAACAGGAGATACTTCATTGTACCAGAGGAAAGACAAAACAAGCATGTTTGATAAAAATGGTTCATTCTGAATTTGTTCTTGCTGTATGGAGGGAAAAGAACACCACGGTATTGGAGAAAACAAGTGATAGCATTGCAAGGGAGATTGCCTATGTTTGCAATGTTCGACCAGTAGCTGTTGTGAGAAGCTTTTTACAGAAATGCAAATTCTGAATTGTAGCAACCTGAGAGTAGTTGAGTAGTAGTTCACTAGTTTGTGTAGCTGCATAGATAGGAAGAGGAGGAAAGCATCCCTAGAAGGTGTGTTAATCTTTCTAGAGATGCATAGTAGTAGCTAGGAGTTGTTTAGAATTGTGGTGGAGATCAGCAAACTAAGTTTGGTCTAGCTGGGATTGTAAATATTCACTTGGTAATTAATAAAAATTTCTAGTTACCAAAAAAAATATGGGCTGATCAATAAATAGGTTATAACCCAACACGCCCAAAATTTAGTTGGGCTAAGATAGGTTGGGTCGGGATGGGCTAAATCATAGGTCATAGCCCAACCCGGGATGAAACTGAAGCTAGAACAACGGAAAAAAATTGAACACAAAAACATAGCAACACTAGTTAATCCCATTCAATATATTTTGTAAAATTTGATTCACTTCAATTTAGATGGATATTAACTAAAACATTGAGTGCAAGTTGAGTTACTATATGAATTTTACCAATATTAGTCAAAACAAAAGAAAGTAAAATAAATAATTAGAAAGATATCAGACTAAGTTTAAAATTATTCAAAAGTTCATTAACAGAGATAAATCGAATTGTAAGAGAAACAAAAAGTTATAAAGCAAGACATAAGTTTGTTAGGACATAGGACAGGAAAAGATATAAACTAAGTCAAATTGTTCGAGATGAACGAGCCAGTAAGTAGTACGGGGGAACTCTATCAAGGAAACAGGTCAGAGAAAAGAATAAAACACACCAGTATTAAGATTTCAGGCCTAAGAGAACTTACCATATTTGAGAAGAAATGGGTCAACTTTGGGCAATCCCACGGGTCTATTTGGGCGGTTGTTCTTAATGGGCTAGCTTGGGCTGTGCCCAAACCAGCCCATCAGTAATAATATCCTTCGGCCAACCCATTAAATTATTGGTGGGTTCGGCGGGTTATATGTTTTTGGATCAATTTGCCACCCTATCCAAGATTAAAGCCTCATACTATCACTGCACAATTGTGCTTGTGCTACTTTTTACTTTAGTTATGAATTGCTGCATGTTCAAAATGAAATAATGATACAAAGAATTTTTTCACGACAACTAAATAAGTGCAAAATATGACATAATGATCTAAGAAAGTGTGTATCTGGAGGAGAGACCAAGCTTTCAATTCTATGATTGCTGATGATATAGCTACGAAATCGAAGGCAAATGTAGGTTCAGACTTTTAGAGGAGAGATAAGAAGTTCGTCTGTGGTGTTGGTACTTAATTAATAGCAATATAGATAAAATAGCAAATGGGTTGACAACAACTAGGAAATTTAGTACGAAAATAAAATTTGGACGGTTGCTAACTACTTGATGTTGATACTGATACTAATTCCCTTGAATTGATTTCACTCATTCCCCTAATGTTGAATCCTCTCGGTTAATCATGGTCAGACTTTTTGAACAATATACATCCTTTATCTCTTAAAAGTTTGAGTGAATACCCTGGTGTTTGAGTCTCTTCAAATTGTTAATGGTCTCTTGGAAGAGAAACAGAAGAATGTTAAAGAACTATAGGACCATAGTTTTGCAATTGAATATGAATATTTAAGACTCTTAGAAAAGACAGGCTACCGCCGATAAGATCATAAGAAGCATTGTCATGTTTCTGGGCAATTAATTCTTGTACTAAAAAAGAGGAAATTGCAGAAAAGGGTAGCTTGTATCAATATCTGCTATCACATTGCAAGCAGATGCAGAAAGAAAGACACCTTATCAATATAATACCAGATACAATTGCAGAATGTCAGAATTCCTAGATATAAAAATGGAGGCAGCAGACAACAGAGGCAAACCTACATGATGTAGGACTTAGGATGCACTAGCACCTGTAAAGTTGGCAAAAATTATCTGTGTATGTAAATATATATTAAAAAATGACAAACATCTTGCTTGGTACCCCAATAACAAATGAAAGTAGGGGCACTGGATGTGAGTTATTTGCTTAAAACACTCTACTAGTGTGCAACTCAAGTTCGAAATACATTACTGAAAATATCACTGCTTTCATGCTTTGTTTAGACTACCAGGGGTTTGTTTCTATTTTCTTTTCTTTTGGTTTTGTACTCTTCTTTTTTATTTCTCATTTCTCCTCTTACTCTTTTTCTCTGTTCCTCTTGCTAACTCAAACACATTCTCGAAGAAGACGGTAGGCATCGAAATTTTAACGGATCAAGCTAAATCCTAAATTCAAGATACTACAAGACGACTCTTTAAATTCTAGGAGTCTATTAGGGTTGCTTGAAGGCTACTCTACCAAAACCCTAACTTGGAGGCTACTCTACCCTAACCCTAGGTCACTCCTATAAAAAAGGTTACATATTTTCTTAAAAAACTCTCGAAAATTGAGATCATCTTGAAAAATCCATAAACTCATTGAATACTCACAAAGAGATCAAGATGCGGTCAGATACTTCTAGATAAGCAAATACTTCAAGAAGATCCACAACATCCTTTCATGGAGATCAAATACATTCCAAGGAAGTCTGCATCATCCTACGTTCTAGAAATAAGCTGCTTCAGCCCTCGAATCACGAAGATAATCAGGAGAGAAGAATCAATGGGACAAACAGAATTGTACCCGCATTGTTTATCAATAAAATTATGTTTCTTGATATTTATATTGTGACTGCAGTTCATTTTTTGTATCGCAAAAATTTGTTGCAAACAAAGACCAATTAAGAAAAGTTCATATTAGATTTGAGAATTGAATTGGAAAACAAAAAAGCTTCAACAACTTTAAGGGGTCGTTTGGTAGGGTGCATAAGAATAATGCTGAATAGAGTGTATTAACAATGTTGGTATTAGTTATGCTGACATATTTCTTATCCATTGTTTGGTTTGATGTATTAAAGCATTGCACAATTTCTAAAAGAATTGTTTGTTTACAAAAATACCCTCATAACCAGGCCATCGCTTTCTCTTTTTAAAAGAAACATATGATGAGGAATGTTTTTATATGAAAAAAGGTTTAAAATTTTTTTTTTGATTTGTCTACCTATATTGTGGTATAGAACTGAATATTTATTTATAAAACAGAAAATATGCTAAGTTTTATTTATCTACTAGGGATAAAAATTTATTTCCCACTTTCTTGGATTATTAGGCAAAGAAAGTTTGAATTAAAAAAATAAAAGGAAAATGAGTTGATTACAAGTGCATTCCAGTACGTAGTAGTAGAGTATAGATTTATAAATTTACAATGAAGAAATTGATGGAGTATAGATATAAATAGCGGGAGCAATTTCAGCATCAAACTTTACATCAAACTTGCATTAATATAATTGCATATTTTAATCAAGCATAAATTTTGATGGACAATTTTGTCTTTAACTAAGCTAATGCATGCATTAAACCCCAATGCATTGTTAATATCATGGTTTCCTATGCATTAATTATGCATAGGATAACACCAAATAGGGTATATAACTAATGCTTGCATAACTAATGCATAGGTTCAAAAAGTGCACCAAACAAGGTATTATTAATACACAAAGCTAATGCATGTATTATTTTATCTAATGCATCTTACCAAACGACCTCTAAAGGTAAATCAAAACTAATCAACCAAAGAATACAGCAAATTGCAATATCTGTTTTTCAACATTTTATCTAATTTAATTTATTTGACTGGTCTTTCGATTTGTTAGCATTTCCTTTCTATTTTTTCTTCTTCTAATATTCAATAAAACTTTAATCAAGAGGAAAAAATTGAATTGAATCAAACATATTTTCTTTTGAAGATTGATTTGTCGTTAAGAATGAAAAACCTAATAAAACTGAATTGAATAAACAGAAAATTGACAGAATGGAACAGACTTAACACTAGATCAACTATGCCGACCGAATGTACCCTCTATTCAGTTGTTGTGGCCAATGACAGCTTGTAATGGTGCACCCCTGATATTCAAATCCCTAGGTATGCCTCTGGCAGAGACAAGGTAGACTATTAGCCAAAGATGCAGACATAACTCATAAGTGAAACATGTTTAGAGGTGTATCACTTTAAAGAAAAGAAACACAATGATACTGGAACGAGAGAACATTAACAGTAGTATTTTGACAATGCCTTCATCTCAAGGGGAGTTTCATAAGTCCTAGTCCAACAATAAGTCATTTTGCTCCCTGTCCCACATCACCATGCTCGTGAATTGTTTTTTAGTAGATTCTATTATAGTCAGTTAGAGATGGAAAGCTGATCATACCTCTCCCTTGATCCTAATTGAAGTCAGAGCATGTGAAGACGTCTCTCAACACAAAGAGAGAGGTCTGCTCCATGCCTCTCCTCACTCCGCATGAATCTAATAACTTCAAGACCAGCTCTAATTAAAGGCATGCTCGCTAACTTATAACTTAATTTCTTTGATAGTGTTTACTGGCGAAAAGTTTCCATTTGACATCAAATGAACTAGAATGACCGAAAAAGTTTATTCTTCCTTAAGTCAAAAGATGACAGATCTTAGTTACTCCCCACTAAACAGTAGAGACAAACCTCAAGCTAATCCTACAGTAGGCCCAATCATCATGAATAGACCATACTATACCATGAGCTGAGAAGACGGTAGAGCTCGTGGTAGACCATGATGATCATTANTGTAGAGCTCGTGGTAGGCCATGATGATCATTAGACTGTATATTTGAACAAAATTGTTCAGAATTCAGCCACTTTGTGTTATATCTAAAAAAGAAATTAAAGATATACCAACAGAAATTCTATGAACCCATAAAATTGATACACTAAAATAACATCATCATTTAGGATTCTCTAGCTCATATGACTCTTCGAATTGAACTCTAATAGGTGAAATGGATTACAAAAAACCAGTTTGAAATGAACAGACCTCAAAACTGACTAAAGTCTTAGCATATAGGAGTATGTCGCCTAAGAACAAAAAGAGTTACTTAGTAGTAATAATCACCTGAAGAAACGCCACCATCCTATCTACTTGACATAATACATTCTTAAACATCAGCTATCAAGTTTACCACCAGGATCAAAAGTTCAAATCCAATTTCAGTTCCTCAAATATTAAGATTCAAGACCACCAAGGCACCAACAAACTCAACGGCAAATATACAAAAATTACATAAAATTCTTTCTGTAAAACAACAAGAGAAGGGAAGTGCAAACAAACACCTAAGATAGATCATAGAAATTTCTCCACAACACTCAATTAATTGCAAAAAAGTAAAACAGGGTACATTATTAATTAAACGATAGAATAGTACAGAAATTACCAGGGCACCAACTAAGGTTGGTAGAAGGGTCTATATCAGCCAAGAATAGGATGAAATTTGCTTTGTTTTGGGGCGCCTCTGCTCTGAACTTCTCAAAGACGCCATTAAAAGTTGCTATGGTGGCGTCTAACACCTTCAACGGCATTCTTTCTTCGTTACTTACTTACAGCTACAATTCAATTTCAGTTCGAGAATTGTGCCCCAGTTTTGCTAGGTTTAAGGATTAGGTCAAATTTATTTCGAGGGAACTGGGAAGAAAAAGAGAGTATATTTTGTTATATATATACGGGTTTTGCCAAGGCATTCTCTACATATTTCCTTTAATATTTTGTTTTATATATATTTCTACTATATATTTCTACTATAAAAAAATGGATGTTCATTTAGTACTTCGTTGTAAATAAGCTTCCTGAAAAAGCTTATCCATATGTGACTCCACCGTAAATATATTTATCTATTTAGTACTCTATTGGAAATAAGCTTCCTGAAGAAGCTTATCACTTCGATTCCCGGTTATGGATAAACATTACCCTAGGTAGAAGATTATCCATGTCTGGTATAGTAGCAGCTTACACAACAGCTTGCAGTAGCAGCTTACACAGCAGCTTGCGTAGCAGCTTACACAGCAGCTTGTAATAGCAGCTTACACAGCAGCTTGTAATAGCAGCTTACACAGCAGCTTGCGTAGCAACTTCCTTTCTTCTATAAATAGAAGAGATTTCAGTTCATTAGGTACATGAGTTTGAATTCGAATAATATATCAGTTTCTCTCTATAGTTGTCTTTACTTTATAGTCTTTATTTNACCCTTAACAACATATCATAAAATAAGAGCAACGAAAGGGACTTTGTTGTCTTTTCGCCAAAAAGTAAAGAATCCACCCTCTGTTTTTTCTCCTCCTCTCCATCGGCTATGGTTAAACTAAGGTTGCCCAACGCGACCGTCCCGTCCCGGTCATGTCCCGCGTCCCGTTCCGTCCCGTCCCACTTAATTCTAAACGGGATGGGCCCATATTAAACGGGACACAGGATGAGACGGGATGGCCATTTCGTCCCGTTTATCCCGTTTCGTCCCGTTTATTCCGTCTCGTTTCGTACCGTCCCGTCTCACCCATCCCGCCTGACCCCCGTCTTTTTTTTTTGAATTATAGTCGTTGGGCAATGGCTTCAATTGCAAAAATAGCCGTTTTTAACGGCCAAAAACGGTCATATTTGGCCCCCACCCAAAATACCCCCAAACTTTTAATATAATCCATAAGTTTATTAAATTACACTTTTGCCCTATTTTCTACTATAAATACCCCATCCTTCTTCATTTTTTCTCACAAAAATCAATCATTCTCTCTCAAATCTCTTACATTCTATCTATATTATTCTCTCAATTTTCTCACAATCAAGTGATAAGTTTCAAGTATTTGGGCAAATTTTTGGAACAACTTTCAAGCTTCAAATTAATTCGTCAAGTATTTGAAGCAATATTTTGGGCAATTTCTTCAAGTTTCAATATTTAATCACAGTGCACTCGTTCCATCTCCTAATTTTAATATATAATTTTTGCGCATCATTTTAGTGCTTGATTTTTGTGTTTACTTTACGTGTTCTATTTTCGTATTTTATTTGTGTGTTTAATTTTTGTGTTAACTTTTTAAATTTAATTTCATATTTAAATTGTGGCACCTAAAAATGTATTTGGCGTATTTAAAAAAAACTAGTAAAAAAAGTAGTAAAGGTGAAAGTAGTAGTAATCCTAATTCTAACCCTTTTCCTAGAATTAGAAAACATATAGATGAAATGACTCATGTTGATGAAACTTCATTTTTCCAACCCCCCCTTCCCCTCCCCTCCCCCATGTTATAATATTAATTTCGGAGAACAACTAGATCATGAAACTTTACAAAGACAATTTGGCAATGATATTTTTATTGAGGGCGAAGAAAATGAGGATGAAGAAAATGAGGAAGAAGAATTAGATGAAACACTCACTAGTCTCGCAACACAAGCTCCAACTCAGAGTCAATTTCGGTCTAGAGCTTTACCCCATGTACCTTCTGTAAGGGGTAAGCCTAAGGGTGAACGTCCCAAAACATCACTTGTATGAAAATTTTTTTAAACATGATAAAGTCAATCAACGTGCTACATGTGAAATATGTAAGCAACGATTTGCGCACACCAAAAGTGGTGGGACGGGGGGTTAACTTGGCACTTAGGTAGGGACCACAAAGCTTTATGGATACAAACTAAAATAGAAGTCGGACAAATACCAGATCCTAGCACTGGTATTGGCACTCCTAGTGGATTTGGCGGGGGTTCTAATTTTACAACAACAACTTGACCCTGCTTCTGGTACTATTTTACGCCCCTATAACAAAGATAGAGATTGTGAGATCTTAGCAAAAATGGTGGCTCTCTGTGGCTTACCTTTTACTTTTCCTTCTCACCTTGCTTTTGTGCATTATATACAAGAAACTTATAATCATGCTTTTCAAGGTTTTCCTAAGACCACGGTTAGAAATGATGTTTTTAAATTTCAAACTGAATATCTTCTGTATATTCGTTGTGTATTTTTTCACTTAGATTGTAAAGTGTCTATCACATCTGATATAGGTCGTAGTCCTAATGGTTGTGATTATTTAACTGTTACATGTTATTGGGTTGATCATCACTGGAGCATGCAAAATATATTATTGGTTATAAATTTGTTGATTCAAAACACACTTGAGCATATATTGCAACTACTGTTCTATAAGAACTTGATTTTTATGGACTCATTGATAAAGTTTTAACTATCACCTTAGATAATGCTTCTGCTAACACAACTGCAGCAACTAGCTTAAGAACTAGACTTTGTCCAATTAATCCATCAATTTTTCATGTTAGATGTGCATGCCATATTTTTAACTTGGTTGAAAAAGATGGTATTAGTTTATTTTCTGATGCTTGTAGTAAAGTACAACATACTTGCGGCTATATTTTTCGTGCTAATAAAGCGAGAAGAATTCGTGAGTTTTCTCAACAATGTGCTAGTGCTAACCTTTCGTATAGAAAAGTTTCAAAAGATGTTTGTACTAGGTGGAATTCTACTTATGAAATGCTTAAAGTTGCTTATGATTATCGGGTGCCTAAACAAAAGGTATTTAGTATGCATAATGGTATCCCCATTGATCAAATTATTGATTCTGATTGGGATCAGATCAAAGAGCTTACTAAATTTTTAGAAAAAATTTATTATGCTACAAAATAATTTTATGGTATATATTATCCTACTATTACACAAATATTATGGTATATTTGTAGAATTTTTGTTGTATTTGGTAAGTATAAAACTAATCCAACTTATGCACCGGCCATTAATAAAATGATTGCAAAATTTAAAAAGTATTTTTTTCATATTCCCCAAGTTTATTTAATTTCTACTATACTTAACCCATATTTAAATTTAAGAGATGCAAAGGGACTTATTCGTAAAATTTATGAGAATTTAGCAATTCAAGAAAATGAACAACCATCTCTCGAAGACTGCCAAGCTAGCATATATTTTTATGCTAGATCAATGTTTGATAAATATAAATCTATGGAAACAACAGGTGGTGAAACTTCTCCTTCTACTTCTAAGTCTAGAGTAGAAGTTCTATGGGAAGATATGGATGATATAACAGGTTTTGATTCCTCTATTGATGATGAACTTGATTCTTATCTTAATCAAGGATTGGAAAGTATTAAAGACGAAAAGGCAACGAACAACTTTTGGCATGGTGGAGGGAGCGTGGCAAGGTTTTTCCAACACTTTCAATAATGGCCCGAGATATCCTTGCTATTCAAGCATCATCAGTAGCATTGGAGAGTTCTTTTAGTGCGGCAAGATTTTAAATTAAATATCATAAACATTCATTAGCGGAGGACAACCTAGAGATTTCCGTATTATTCAGAGATTGGATTAATTCAGAAAGAAGAAATCTTGGTTTTAAAAAATTAACCACTGGGGAAGAAGAAGAAGAATACAATGATACACTTAGCACTGGGAGCGATGACGACATGAAACTCATGGAACATCAATCAACATTAGCAATTCCAAAACAATACCCGAGAGAAATTATAGATAAATTACAACGAAGTTATATAGGAGCTTACAAATATTAGTATGATAATTTGTAATTGGCTACTAAGAGGTCTAGTTCAAACAGAACCCTTCCTAGAAGGTGGCTGCGTAGATTAGGTGCTCTTCAAAAGAATTATATTTGTATGTGAGATTTGAAAGTTCTATTAATAAAATAAAAGTCTCTAAGCGTTGAATTTTTTTATGAATTGTCTTATACTCTTACTTAGTTACTTGAAGACTTGAAATTATATTAAATAAATTATAACTCTATTATAAATTTATAATTACTAGAATATTTTATTACAAGTCTTTTGTTTTAATATTTTATAATTCTTTACTTAGTTTTCTAATTTCCGTTTAATTTTTAAGTTTAGTAAATAAGTCAAAAAACTAGCCGTTGCAAATTATAAAAACTTAGTCATTGTCAAAAAAATAGTCGTTGCCAAACTTAATGCTTAAATAGTATATATTTTTTAAAACGGCACTTAAGGCCCGCGAACCCGTCCCGTCCCATCCCGTTTGTTAGCGAGACGGGATGGGCCTACCATTTCGTCCCATCCCGCCATCGTCCAGGTTAAACGTTATCCCGTACCGTTAATTTTATCCCGTCTCGTCCCGTCCTGTTGGACCGTCATAAGTTAAACCAAAGCAAAAAAGAAAGCACTAATTGAGCAATATTGAATTGTCCAACTCAAGAATAATAGTTCTAATTAGCATTTTGCCTGCACCTATCTTTGTTTTGGATATTTGTTTCCCAATCTTTCTTTTGAAGATTGACTTTTCAGTATTCATTCGTAGAGTGAAAAAGATTAGAGATGACTTTTCTATTTTTTTACTCTCTGCAACTCATTAATCTCTTTATGGAGGATAAGAGTTATTTTGGTAAAAACACCATATTGCAAAATCAAATTGGTTAGATTTAGTTTAACTTTGATTGTTGGGTATATATTTTTTATTATAATAATAAAATTGGCTAGATTTGCCTAAACTTTTGATTATTGGGTTTACAGACTTAAGAGATTGGAAGCTTCAAACAATGAGAGAGAAGCATCTTGCGAAGGAGTAGGGTGTTTTGAGTTAATGTTTGGAGCTTTTTGTGAGGGAGGAGGAGTTAAATATTATATAAATTTAGTTTTTTGGATTAATGCTAATGGAGTTTCCCGGGAAGG